AAGATAAATCACGCCTTCATAATGAATCATAAAGTGGATCATTAGCCCCGTTTGTTAATAACAACGTCCCATTGTAGCAGGGTGCAGATAACCGTTGTGTTGATGGGTTTGCCTTGTACTGAGGTGGGCGCGGTTTATAGGGGCGTGTTGTGTACGATACAAACAGAATGTGTCTCCAGCCAAACATGTCTCAGGAGATCCGGGCACTGGTAAGCTGAGGGAAAGTTTACCACAGTTCATTTACGCTCACTTCCCACATTATTATGATACAAAGCTGGTTGAAAATCACCAAAATATCACTTTAAACTTCTTACTTTGAGTCACAAAGTCTGCTCCATGATGAGCCTTTGCATTTGTTCATGTTTACATTACATAACCTCAGGCACTCCACCTGCTGTCTGCCCACACTACTCTCAACTGCCTGAACTTTGCTGCCCCTAATTCAGAGCTAAGTGCGCCCTGACTGACACTTTGGATTAATGATGCTCGTAGCCATTGTCCTCAGCTCTGCGGCACAGGCACAAATGCAGGGATATTTCTTCCAAATGGTATTCTGCACTTTGTGAGCGGAAAGACAAAATAAGGGGGAAAGAAAATTTGGCATAATACCATGTGAGTTTTATAACTGATCTCGAGCAGCATTTCCCTATGGCAGCTCATATTTCATTGGTGAGGAAATAATTAATTGCTGCTTATGTGTGACTAACATAATTCACTATCATAATAAATTCCCTGCTGGTGAGCGTGTTTACAGAAAAAAAGAACACTGACCAAAATGCAAAAGCCTCCCCTGCAAACAGTTCTCGGAAAATTAACTAATTGCATTTCCGATTGCCGCCTGGTCCCACCTGCCTGCCTTTTAATGAACACCAGTTATGTCAGAGGACAGAAGACTAAGTGCTTGAACATTTATTTTCCCTGCCATGTCCTGAAAAGAATTAATTAATGGGCAAAAGACTGATTTGGTGGAGTCAGTGTCGAGTTAATGTTGATAGACTCTCTGGCAGTCCCGGCACATCCCCTCCATCAGCTGAATGTACATAGCTCGGGCATTTGCTGCTGAGTGACAATAATGGCTAGCAATGTTCCTTTGCATAATCATCACCCGACATGGCTCAGAGTAATTTAATTTGTTTTGACTGCAAAGAAGATTTCTGCATGAATTAAGATCCAGACAGGAGTGCAGCGGTGCTCGCTGAGTGTTTGTAAGTCTTATGACTCATTTCTTTTGTCAAACCTCGCAGGACGTTGGAAAAACTGCCAACACCTTTTCAAAACTTCACTTTAATTTGATCCTTTACACAACTGTTTATATCAGTGGAAAATATTTTTGCTTCACTGACACCAGAAGACTCCAAAGACATTTCTTAAATTAAACCTGCACGAATAGTATTTTGCTCACTTAGGGGGGGCAGTGCAGCAAGCTTTGATATATTACTCTATCAACTTATAGCTGATAAGACACATTGCTGCACACATCCAGTAGATACGGAGCAACATCAGCATTTATCTGGAGTTGTGTCTCTGGCCACTTGGCAAACACAAGTCCAACATTCACTCTCAATTCCTGAGGGAGATATGTGGCTCTGTATTTGCTAAATCTTCCACCATGTTCTCCAGCTAGTCTTTATTTTTCTGTGTGCCATCTGGTGCAGGGCAGGTAGTTTTTACCGGCCTACCCTTTACCCCTTTAAAGGCCCTGGCCCTTTGGGTAACCTGTGAGGGTGTGACATGTACTTCAGTGTGCATGTGTGGGGAAGCAGCTCTTGGTGTGTCATGGTGATCTCACAAGAAGGCCCTGTTTGTTGTTTTGTGGTGAAGACTGCAATAAAGCTATTGTTGTGAACAGCACCCGAACGCCTCGCCAGTTTGGACCTAGAAGCTAGTTACCAGCTAATAATGAGCCAAGCTAAAATGAATGTTAATAAGCCAGTATGTTCCTAACTATGATTCAAAGCCAGTAAGCCGTCACTGAGAGAGGTAACATAGTGTACAGAGTTTTAATAGAGGTCATAGAACCAAAACAAATGACTACAAGACATTTAACGCTCAATTAAAGTTTATCAAAATATTTATTAGAGCAGCTACAGGTTCTTGTTTATTGTTAATCATGTCTGCCTTGACTTGACTCTACTTGATGAAACTGTAAATCTGTGTTGTCGTATTTCACAATGTGTAATGCCAAGAAATGCTACACCACACCAGTGTTGGGCTGGATTACCAAAACCATTTAGGCTTTATTTGGACAATCAAAAATCATTTCTAATTCAAGAGATCAGTCTGCAGAAGTATCACATCACACTAGCCGTGTTTCCATCCAACTGTCAAGTGAATTTTGAACAAACATTTCACATTTGGCTTAGATAAGTTGTGGGTGTATGTGTCCCACAGTTTGCACCATCATTTCTTCAATGCTTCTTGGTCAAACAATTGACCCTTCATTAAATCCCGCCCCCAGACGCAGACTGGCCAATCATAACATAGCATCAGGCCGGCTCAGACCAGCGTCCGACAACATCATCGCTGTGCTCCATTGACTCTAATGCAGTCGTTTCAGATTTCCCTCATTTTCAGGCAGGTTTTGTGGATTTGGAGCTAAATGTTGTGTCTGGGGCACGTCATGTATTAATGATACTCGTTACCTGAAGAGGTTGGAAAAAGATAAACGCTTCTTCCCTGTTCCAAAACCAAAATCAGACCCTGAAAAGTGTAGGGTTAGCTAGCTAGCTACTGAAGATATAGCCTACTGAATGTATACACATGCTGCTTTTGCTTTTTAATGATTATAACAGTGAAAAAAAGACCGATCCTGCTGTACAGGAACCAGTGAACACTGTTCATCTGCACACACTGCGATGCCACACAGCTGGTTCAACATCAGCAGAGTTTCCCTTTATATTCATTGTCTTGTGTGGCAATCAGCAGTGATGTGGTGGTTCACTTTTACACTGTGATCTGTAGCCTATAGTTCGGCTTTAGCTTCTAACTGTCTTTGTCTTTTTAACCTGTTGTTGCTGCTGAGTCAGTTTGACATCCTGGATATATCCTTCAAACACAGACTGTAGACCCCTCTGTCTGCTTCTCTCTGGAATCACTGTTTCAGTTTTTCCAAAAATATGATAATATTTCTTCAGGGAGTGCAGTTAGTTACAGTGTGGGCTCCATGCTTACTCCGACAGCTTGTCGGACCATCACAAAGGGGCGGGGCTTAGCGAAAGNATATTTCTTCAGGGAGTGCAGTTAGTTACAGTGTGGGCTCCATGCTTACTCCGACAGCTTGTCGGACCATCACAAAGGGGCGGGGCTTAGCGAAAGTTCAAAGTTTTAAAGGCAGAAAACACAGACAATCAAACCTGTTCGGAAACTTTTAATGATGGATGAAAGCTTGTGTGCAAAAGTGATTGACACAGCTTGAGGTCGTATCTATTTTTAAAATGTGCGACAATTTCGTGAGAAAAATACAGACTCAGTGTACAAAGGCCTTCAGGCATGGTCCCATCGACTGATTTGGAGCAAATGAACTATGCTATGCAAAGCCTAGTTTTCTCAGTAGTTGGTGGAATAGGTTTGTGGCTGTTATCCACCACTAAACAGTATAGAAGAAGTAGAGGTTGCAAAGCGGTAACTAAGCAAATCGCCTTTGCAATCTAACCCATCTACAAGAGAAAAATGAAGAGAGGTCTTGGGGAATTTGTTTCAATTGGGCAAGTTTCAATTGTTCTCTCATGTCAACTTGTATAAGGGGCTGTATCCACCAAAGCATTCCTTTCTGAGGCCAGCGTATTTTAAATTCTTTGCAATGGGGACCCCACATATTTATGATACCTTACAAATGCCAGCAGCATGACAATGCGCTGAGCGTGATTTCTGCACTGACTGCTGCCAGTTGGAGTTGAAAAATGTTTGGGTAAAAATGCTGCGTTCATCACAGCCGTTCAATTCACAGTGGAGAGACAGATACCCAAAGACAAACCATCACATCTTACATGTACAAGTGCTGATCAACAACAATAGACACAATATATGTTTATATACTCTCTCTCTCTCTCTCTCTCTCTATATATATATATATATATATATAAATAATAAATAAATAAATAGATAAATATATGTTTTCTCTCATGAGCCCACACAGACCTGTCTGCCCTTTCTACCTGAATGCTTCAGCCTTCTCCTTATCCAGAGAAAGTACTCTACCTTGTATAGACATGTTTACTTGTATTATAGCTCTCAGACGCAACCAAAGCGTCTCAGCTTAAAAAAATGCTGCGAGGCAAAAGTGCTCTCAAACACTCCCAGCTTGGCGTTTCCTGAGGAGCGCCTAGCACTTTCAGTTTGGAAAAAAACGCTTTGGTGGACACGGGGTCTTGAGATGAAGACGAATTAATGAAGCGCGAACAGGTGATCAGTTTTGTGAGTTAAGCCTAGTTCACAGTACACGATTTTCACCCCAATTTTGACGTCGCAGAGGATCTTGAGAGCCACCTTGGGTCGGAGGTGAGTCAGCAGATAGTCTGCAACGACGAGTCGACATGTGAATAAGCCTACGAGCAAGTCGCCCCCTCGTCTGCGACTGGGAGTGGATATCTGGCATGCTAGAAAACCGGAGAAGTCTGACACAACTGACAAAGAGCATCAGCCAATGAGAGGCGGGATACGTCCCACGTCAGCATGCAGGAGGACAGATGAAATGTGAGGAGGACAAGTCGCAGGGTTGCCAGGTCCGCTTATTAGCAGCGACTTTGGGCTTGTTTTTTTGTAAAGTCGCTTACGCTTTGGGCTTGTTTCCATAGCCCTTGTTGCTTGTTTCTCTCCCAAGATCTGGCAACACTGACAGGCCAGCAAGCAACAACAACAATGGCGGTGTCCACTGGATCACGTGGAGCGCGTTGTGTTTGGACCCAGGCCCTGGAGGCAGATCTGATTCAACACTGGGAAGAATATCCATGCCTTTACGATGTGTCATCTCCAAGTCACCGGCGAGGGCTCGGTGGAGAAATCTTGCGGTGTGCACACAGGTCGTAACGCAGTTGGCGAGACTCCCGATAACAGAAACACACGTTGCCAGGTATGACCACTCAAAAGATTACGATAGTCTCCGCGACGCAAAATTGGGATGAAAATCGTGTAATGCGAATTAGGCTTTAGATGTTCCCTACAACAGAACTATAGACTATTTAAAGTAACGGACGAAGCCACCATGATGTCACCCATTGGTTCGTGGAGTTCCATTTTGAAACCTCGGTATTTTAGCCATCGCTATCTTGGTTTTTTGGAGCCAGTAGTGACCATATTTAAATGAAGGGGTGGAGCTGTGGAGGAGCGAGGGGTGGATCCGACTCATAGACTGTGGTGATGCCTAGCAGTCACTAAAAGCTGCCCCGCCCTTAAATATGTGTAACTGTTTTGTACCAGGCTGTAAACATGTTTGTTTCTGCTGTTAAGTTCGGGTTTGAGGGGATTTACTTGTGTACCGAGCCAGCCTCAAGTGGCCATTCAAGTAACTGCAGTTTTTTGCCACTTTCATGTTGGCTTCATTTTTTCAGCCTCGAAATTTGCCGCTTCATCAGAACTTATTCGGCGCACCAGTTCTTTTTCAACAAAGGCAAAAACCAACTCCAGCGAGTGTAAAACCTTTGTTCACGGAAACACGGCTAACTGTCATCCAAGCTCTCAGGTTATCTTCCTTGTATTAGAACAATGATATGTTTGATTTTGTGCTACTAATCACAAGGTCAAAGTACATTTCACCTTAACAGAGGGCACTTCATTTTAAAACAAACAAAAAAATGAATTCCATGCCTTTAATGCAGTATGTTGACCAACTGGGACTTATGCCCCGTTGGAGAGATAATGTCCATTGTCCAGAATTGCACAAGAAAGCAGGACAGCAGTAACAGCTGAATGAATTGCACAAAGCATCTCTCCCTGGTGAGCCTTTGTCCTCTTTCACTGTGTGGAACGGCGTCTACTCCAGGTACAATACAGCCATATCCACTTCAGAGAGGAGCCTGATATTCAAAGTAAAAGGGAAAATTTGTGAGGCTATTTTATCTTCAGGGAGAAAGGCCATCTTATAACTGTGAGTTGCACTGAATATGGAGTTTTGGGTCGTGTCCTGTACCCTTGTTTGTTGATCTGAATGTAGGCTCGCTGAAAAGGCTAAAAGCTCCAAGCAGAGATTCTTTTAAGGCAAAAAAAATATAGCTGTGCGGCAGATGTGTGCGTTTCGGATCACAAATGGCCATGTGAAAGGAAAGCAAATACACTGACACCATGTCCATGCCTTTTGTGGAAACAGCCTTAGTGGATGTCACAGTGAGCATCCTGAGAGTGAGACTGGCGCTCCAGGATGGCGGACGGCTCATACAGCAGATCATCCTCTCCAAGTGTCGAACTGTGCTCCAAGTTCACAAAGTTAGGGATGTTGAAGTGGGAAAAGAAGGCACATTCTCTGTCGGTCTTACCCTCCTCTATTAGTCCCTTGAGAGGTTGGTGGCCCTGAGCTTCCTCTGTGTCCTCTTCCATCTCGTCCATCATCCCAGACAAGCTGATACCTCTGGTCCCCTGCTGGGCACGAGCCCCGCTGTGCTTTCCGACCCTCTCGTCCCCTGGTTTTTGCTTCCCCTGACCCTGATCCTCCTCGTTGATGTAGAAATGAAAATAAGAGCGGGACTCGGCTAGCAGAGGGCGAGAAAAGGCTTTGTCATTTTCGTCCTGGGGGCTGCCGATATCTACCAGACAGCTGCCTGGTCGATGGCGCTTTTCAGCAGAGTCTGGGTTTCTGTTAAGAAAAGAAAGATTGCAGGAGTGAGATGAGGTTGGAGCAGGAAAATGCTTTGGGAATATAAGGGGCTTTTATTGTCATTTTTGGCCTGAGTGAACCTGTAGCTGAACTCTTATAGATTTTTCGTCCTATTTTTCTCTTTTTTTGTGTCTGTTTGTGGATATTAATACTAAAAATACTCCCAGCAGCCTTTTCTATAAAAACAAAGCGGGGGAAAACACATACAGCGTACCAGTCAGTAAATTTCCTATTTCATCTGGGCCTAACCTCTGTGCTTTTCTCAGTCTGACCTTAATATAAATGATTTCTCTCAACTTCCGACGGCTGATCTTCACTTCAGACGGCAATATGCCTTCGGCTATATGAACCTCACCTCTGAGTCAAATGTAAACGTTCCACGACAGCTCAATAACGTTGGCAACCTATATTAAAATGCCTCACAACTTTCTGCCAAATGCCTCCCTAAAGCTCATTACAGCCCTGTCTCCCTCTGCACACATCACAAGTCCACCATCAGACATAAAAGCCGCCCGTCCTCTCCCTGGTGCTGAAACCATCCCTGCGGGGGCCAGATGTGAACATGAATGGAAATCGTACTCACTCTTGATGTGGCGCTCCTGTCTTTGTGAGCAGCGTGAGAACAAAGAACATGAAAATGACAAACACAGCAAGTCCGACCCAGAAGCCGATGACGATGGAGTCTGAAATGTCAAAGAAGAAAGAATCTTATTATGGCACATAATTGAATGATTGAGCCCATATCTGTCTGCTCCTCCCCTCTGCACTTGGGAGCCTATTTTCTCCCAGGGGCCCTCATATCCTCAATTAGTCTGTTAAAGTGAGCATTCAGTGCTTCTCAAATTGGATATCAGCATGTTGTCAAATTGTCTTTATCCTGATGGAGATTTTTTTTGTCTCTGTAAGTGGTTTAATCGTTACCACTGGAGTATTAAACGCCAGCGTGCTGCATGAAATATTGCTGCCAGATGATTTGTTTATTGGGAGGCAGGTAGCGCGTGCATGTCGCCCTCCAGCTGAAGCAGTAAAGATAAGGCTGGGAGTGGGTAATGAGTCAGTATTAATTAACAGCCGTAAAGGTGAGTAACCCTGTTTGTTGGCACAGATATTGCATGCACAAACACACACACACAGACACGCGCGCGCACGGTAAAAAAGCAGTGGGAGCAATGGGGAGATTGACTCAGTGATGCATAGACTTGTACTCAGCTTACATCTGTGCGCTTTGAGTCCCTCAAACGACACGGGCTCCTCATCGTCGTAATATTCATACTGCCACACGTAGTCACTGCGACGTGCGCTGGTTTGGCTCCGGTTGTGGAAGTCGGACATTTCAAATCGATTTTTTTGCACCTTAACAGCAAAAAACAATTAAAATCAACCCCAAAAAAGACGCTTTATCAATGCAAACCGTCACCATAAAGCCATAAAGTTTACAAACCACAATCTCCAAGCGATGTCAAGCCTCCCTGGTGATGTTGAAAACAAGCCTGTTAATTTTTTTGGCAATTCCGCAAACAATTCCTTTAGGTGTTACGTCCGTCTTCCGCAATACAACCACGAGCCAAAAAGCTGGTAAAGAGCGGGAGAAGCCATCGCTTTGCCGTTACGCAAACGCCCCATCAATCTTCATGTAAGTCCTGAGAGCGAAGCAGCCAGCAGCCGTTTGGTGCGCATCACCGTCAGCCAGCATCCTCTATACTGTCGGCTCACTCACTCCCTGTGATACTGAGATTACACTGCAAAAAAAATTGCTCATCTTAACCAGTCAGTGTGATGTTGGGGGCGAAGATGGTGGTTTCCTCCAAGACAGGAGGAGGTGTTTCCAAGGCAGTTGATAATTATGAGGAGGGTCTATTTTGTGTTAAATAATACTCTCTAAACTAAACCTAGAGTAAATTGATTGCAGAGAGGGCTTGGATATCTGAAATATACGTAAGTGCATGTAAATATTTTGCATATTCACGCACAGGAATCAGAAAAATGACACAAAAATGCAGATTGTATTTGGACAAATGAGGCAAAATAGTCACATTTCCCCAATGCAGCTTCATTTTTCCCCCTAAAAAAACATTTTCAACATTTTAAAACAATCATCATGATAACTTTTTCATTAGAATAATACATAATTCTGAAACGCATTAAATAAAACACAAGTGCCCAAACCCAACCTGCCAATTACAGCCCATCAGAGGGACAGTCCATCAAATCTATATTGAATAATAGCACTGTACATTATGCATAATTGCATTTTGGATGACTCACCACTTAATTAAGGAGACAAATGCAAGCTGTGTACAGAATAAAGACTTTGTCTGGAATGATTCATTAGAGGTAAGTGAGCAGACTGACAGACTTCTAAGAACCAGTGAGACACAGCTGGTTAAAAAGCAGCGTGATGTAAGGTTCATTACCATAAAATATATTTTCCTTTACTTAAGAGTTATTTAGCAACAACTTGTTTTTCAGACAGTTGCCTGGTTTGTTTCCTCCTCTGTCCCTAGTAACTGTGTGAACATGTGAACTGTTACTGTGGTACACTATGTAATAATAGATGTATGTAAGCCTGGACAACATATTCTCACTCCAACCACGTCACATATTGACATTGACGTGCAAGGTACCCTGGGTGCGTTGGTTATTGATGTTCTGGGACAACGTGTCAAGTTCTGCCTGTTGCATGCATTGTCTTCTTTCAAAATACACCTCTGTTTGCAGGGGATATTTACTGTTTACTACAGTCTCGTTCAGAATAAACGCACTACTTCGGTACAACGCTGCCGATTGATGTTTTTTTTTCTTTCAACAACAAACAGACATGGTTGGATGTAGGCAACAAGGAAAAAGAACAGGCTTTGGCTTCAGAATCTTACAGGACGTGAACACCATTCTCTCGGGAGAAAGCTGGTTTTGTTGGACCACTCCCACCCGCCACAGTCGGACTTTCGCAACCTTAACTTTCGTCCTTGTCCCGTTGCGTTTCCCCCTGACGCTGCTGGGTGCGTTTGGTCATGTGTGTACATACATATATGTGTGTGTGTGTGTGTGTGAGTCTGCACAACACATTCTCACTCCGACCTTGTCATGTTCAGATTGAGACTGGGTTGGTCTGCAGCTGATCTCGCATACTACTGGACCAATCAGCCTAATATTTTGTGTGCACATTTATGAGTGTATGCTTAAGGATTTCTCATGGTTGCAGTGACTCACAATTGTAGGAAAAACCTTTTTTATTGACTGACTGCTGACTCCTTGTTCCTCTGAGGGTCGCACTTTTTTCTACAATTTGGCTCAGGTAAAAACAGCAAGGAGTACTGTCTGGTAACAGGCCAGAGTTTTACCTTCTTCATGGCTCATTAGAGAAGTTTGGTTGTATTTTGAACCAAAGCATCTGCAGATTAATTCCATATCCGATATGGATATGACATGACCCACTGAGTCAGGCATGATATGAAATGGCAACACATTCTCACTCCAACCTCATCACATATCAGTGTTTGGTCATGGACTTTCAATGTCGACATATGACGTGCAAGCTACCCTGGGTGCATTGGTTGTTGACATTCTGGGACACTGTGTCAAGTTCAGCCTGTTACATGCATAATCTTCTTTTGAAAATACACTTATGTTTTCACAGGAAATGTACAGTTTCTTTCAAAATAAATGCACAACACCGCCTTTTTTTTCCTTCCACCACAGATGGACGTGGTTACATTTAGCCAACAAAAGCACATGTTGGGAGCACTATGTCACCCTCAACCTATCCAGAGCTCAGAGGTCAGTTTGTGCCCAGCTGAGGTGTGGTATTCTACCTCTGGCTCTAGAAACTGGACGCTTCCATTTGATCCCTGAGGAAGACCGAAACTGTTGTTTGTGTGATCTGGGAGAGATTGAAAATGAATTTCATTTTTTGTTTTACTGTCCTTTGTATCACAACCATAGGCAAAGGCTTTTCTGTAAAATTTTATCTGAAGATGGACCGGATTTGTTTTCAATGTCTGATGAAGGCAGACTCCAGTATTTATTTTCAGAAAAGGTATTCCTAGTAGCTAAGTTCATCCAAAATGCACACGAGCAGCGTAGGAGTACACTATATGTGTGAAACACTATTACCACCTAACATTAATATGTATGTAGGTAAGAATGTCCATGGGTATATATATGTATGTATGTATATATGTATATGTATATGTGTATAGGTGTGTGGATGCATATATGAAAGCATCATTTCCTGTACTTTCCTTTTGTTTATCTTGTACGGCTCCTTTATGTCAGTTTAAGTGTCTTGTAAGCCCATGAGGGCTGGGCCACTTTGGTGTATGACACTTGGAAATAAAAACTAACTAACTAACTAACTTGGGTGTAGGAAAATGAACAGAATTTGGCTTTATATTCAACCAGGAGGACACCGGTCTCCTGGGTAACAATACTTTAAATCTAAGACACACTTAAGTAACAGCACCTCAAAGAAGATCAGCTCCGAAATTGGGATTTCTGGTAAGCAGGCTATGATATACTGCAAGTTATGATCGCAACCTGCCTCCACGCCCTGTAAAGGTTGCACAGATTTGGCACAATAGTAGCAACCAGTGCCCCACATTGCATTATCCAAGCAGATGAAGACACAAAATGTGTCCTGGCCCTGAGGGAGCAGGTGTTTCAGAGTGTTTCCCTGTCGATGTATGTTTACCCCGACCAAACCCTGACCACTGTGGGCAGTGCTACGCATTAACAGGAGAGGAATGCTATTCAACAGGGGAACAGACTTTGATATAACACCAGGAGGGACAGCTCCACCAGGCACAGCAGCTGCATTTGTTTCTGCTGCCATGACTGCGAGTTAGTTTTGTTCCATCCGCCACATGGCGCCATACCACATCACAGCATGTCAGAGACAGAATGTTTCGTCTGCCTGATTATGTAGATTTTTGCAGCTTTAGTTGGGCATTTTCCTTGATATTTGTGCTTTATCATAAGGCAAGGTTGTTGAATGGTTTATTTTGTCTGTTTTAGTTGTGTTTGTTGTCCCTACTTTGTTGTGCTGTAGCCTGTAGACAAAGTTAATTGCATTAAAGGTCAAGTTATTTCAGTGCATGTTAGCAGGAGAGAGCAGGAGTCTCCTCTGTGCAACGTGCTGCAGCTCTGTCAAAAATAGACGCAAATAGGTGCTTAGTTTTCTGGGACGCTTCTAACAACACACTGTGGCGTGTCTGTTGGAACTGTCTAGAGTGGCTGTGATCAGCTTGGGCAGCCACCAGGCAGGAACCTGCACTCTGCTGAGTGCACTTTTCCAGTTTTTTTAAGTTATCACACAAGAATTCAATGTCCTTTCCTGTTTTGTCTTAGCATGAAATAATATATGACGTGCGCCACTGGGTGGAACTGCCAATTTCAGATTTTAAAACTCCCCAAAAGCTGGCAGAATATATTAATCTATAATAAAAATATTCCACTTGTTGTATATAGTGCATTTCCCAGGATGTCCCAGTGCAGTCACACAACTGACGTCAACACCGCATTTTAAAACAAAGTCGTTTTATTGTAAAGTTATTTGCAGCTCAGAGTTTCATAAAATCAGCAGTGAGTCAGGAGGAAATTTCCAGATTTGGAGAAGCTACTGGGCTCTGTAACAAAATCAGCCGCTGAATCCTTCATAAAATATTCAGATCACATGCTACTGGACTGCTGTCGAGGGACAAGTCTGTTTTGAGCAATCAATGGCAACATCTCAGTCATGCCGTTGGGTTTAACGGGAAGTTCTGTGAAAAAAAGAAAAAAGTTTCTTTTTTAATTTGCCTCCCACAAAGTCTCTCAAGGAAGCACATCTCTAAATGACCTAATCTTTTGCCATTTCAGCGGAGTGACAGGTTTAAACAAAGCAACCATGACTAATGAGTTTAAACCTCCTTGCACTGAGGAGGATTACAAAACGTGTGCCTGCTCGAGGCTGGAAATGCTTATGAAAACTCTAAAAACACTGCATCATTAAAAGCCCTCTTTTCATCCTTTGATAAATCTTCATTCGAGCAACTGGCTTCATTAGTCGTGCATTTCTTATATAATAATTATAATCTTTGAAGTACCTTTTAAGTGGAGCCACTTCAGGCGTCCTTTCATTCATGGTGATGTGCCACCAAAATGAAATTTCGACATCATACAAATGACATTCAGAATGATTACAGGTGCATCAAATGCCATTAAAATCCTGGTGCTATTAGTGCCCCTTGGGATGATCTCAGTGTAGACCTGAGGAGTTAATAAATATCTTTTCTTTTTTTTAATTAGCTGGTGCTGTGTGTTAGTATCACTGGCCAAATCCACACAGACACATGTCCAGACACTTCAAGGGCAAATGCCTCATTTTTGGCAGAGCTGCTACTGCTTTTCGCTTTCGTCACAGGAAGCTTATCGAGCCAGGTTTGGCATCATCCACATAGTTTTAAACACAGTCATGTTGCAGAGCCTTTAAATGAATACTTCACACCTTAAATTATCATTTGAAAGTCAGTTATTCACCCTGTGTTATGTTGAATTCACAAAACTTTTCTTTCATGCTCATGGTGAATGAAGAATCCAAAAACAGAAAATTCTTGATGAAGTGAAGTCACTGGTGACTGCAACTAAAAGTTAAACTTATCTATGCTCACTTCAAAGCCAGACTCCACTGACAAAAACAGTCACTTTACCTTGGTGAACACAGGAGC